AACCCAATAGGTTTCAAACATAAATGTTGAAGGATGCCAAATTCTGTAACAAATTCTACAGGGACAAGAAACTAAGAGTTGTTTCGAATTTTCCAGCTGCATCTGTGATATACAAGAAAAGCCCTCCAGTAATTCTGAATAAGACCTCTTTTGGAGTCAAAACTTTGGTTTTTGAGCCTACCCTCCCACTGCATGGCTTCTGTCCAAGGCAACTATTACAGGGAAAAGCATCATTTGCCATTGTGTGGGATACAACACAACAAGAAGAAAGTGCTCCTGTGGTGTGCTGTTAAGTTGATCAGATGAGATATGCTGGTATTTCTGGTTCAGCCTCCCCAGTCAGTAATTTTGGTGCCATAACTGGTAAATTTACTCATTTACTAGAATCTAAGTTCTGTACTACATGCCTAGAGACAGCATGAAGCTTAGAGGTAGAGGTTGCAAAAGCAACACTGCCTTCTCCCTCATGTAAAAGACACTGAAAAACAGAAATAAATCTGAATTTAAGGTTAAACAGGTCCGTGATTGTTTATTTTTCCTTCCTCCTCTGCTGTTTTCTATGCTTTAGGCAGTCTTGTTTTCAGTGGCTTCCTAACAGAGCCTGCAAAATTCCTTATCACAGTTGTTCTCTTCCCACTGGCCAGATGTGTTCTCTAGAGGTTGTGCGTGATCTGAGATGGGATCCTTGTCCTCTCTGAAGTCACTGGAAGGTTATCCATGGGCTTCTGTGGGAGCAGCAATGCAGCAATATGACTTAAATCCTGCCTACAAGGAACGAGACTTGGCTTATATCCATACATCAGAACATGGCCCCTTATACTTACCTTGACTGTTTTAATTTCTTTATTTTAAAAGGCTTTCAGCTAAGGTTTCCTGAGTTTTATTTATGATAGCTTAGATCCCTGTAAAAAAGTCTGGAGTAAATCCATGCTTCCAACAGAACACATCCTACAAAAGTCTGGGAACTCTTAGCCACAGGAAAAATGACCAGGCTTCAGGATGACTCATTGTCACTATTTTGCAAAGATGTTGGAAGAAACTGGGAAGCAAAGACTAATCAATGTACTTCCCGCTCTTTTGCAGATTCCCATCTGCTCTAGCTAGTTCCCACTGCCAGAGGGCAGGGTTAGAGAAGATATTGGGAAGAAACCCTTCCCTGTAAGGGTGGTGAGGCCCAGAGAAGCTGTGGCTGCCCCTGCATTCCTGGAAGTGTCTCAGGCCAGGTTGGACAGGGCTTGGAGCATGAGGTGCCCCTGCCCATGGCAGGGGGTAGCACAAGATGGGCTTTAAGGCCCCTTCCAACCAAAAGCATTCCAGGATTCCTGTAAAATTCTTTCTAAATGGCTTTTTCTTGAGACTCTAAGAACATTTTTTTTTGCAAATGCTGGAAAGAGTCACGTTCTAGTGAAGAATACTTCATTAAAAGCTCTTCAGATACCATGAAAGACCCAAAATTGGATAAGTGCTAGTTACAGCAAGAATCTTCTAAAAGGGCAAAGAACTTCTCTCTCAACTGGAGCAGAGCCCCACATCCTTCCCAGCAGTGTCTCATAGGGAGGACATCCCACTCACACTGGAAAGTTATTTCTATTAATGAAAGTTAAGCAGTGAAGTTTGAAGTTGCTTATTAAAAAAAAAAAAAACCCAATGCAACAAATTGTGCCTTTCTATGGGAAAAAAACCCCTCATCCATCACTTCTCATGATAAAAAAACAGCAATGTTGAAACTTACCATTTCAGAGTCAATATTCCTGCTCATCTTTGGAAGAAATGGAGGGAAAAAAATTCATGTTATTTGCAGCAGGGCCTTGTTTGGAGGTGTTAGCCAGTTCTCCTAACTTTCTCCACACTGTTAAAATCACGGATCTTGACCCAAACCAACTCGCTGTGAAGTCAGAAGACTGGGAAGTGGATGGAACTCGGAAGAGATAAACTGAATGGGAAATGGGTTTTAAAGAGAGACCTCTCACTCCCAAGGTGAGAAAACTCTAGGAAACTACAGAAACACATTGTTCTGGTTCAGCTTTTTGCTAAGGCCAAAGGATTTAAAACAAACATGGTTCTAAAACAGCAAAGGCAAAGACTTCCATTCCTCCCCCAGACAATCACAATATCCCACTGACTTTTTGCTATCACTGCAGAGTATTTCCAGCTTCAGCTAATAGCACAGAAGAAATGAAAACTTGCATTTTGCAGTTTGTCTGGAAATTAAATCCCTGATGCTTTATGTGAATCAGTTATTCACAGGAAAAAAGGTTCAGACCTCTCAACATCCTCTTGGCTCTTGCAGTGCATTGAATTATCTTCAGAAAAATGGAAAGACTTCTAAGTTCTTCATGAGAACAAAAAAGGGAGGGTTTCCACCAACACAGGGGCAATAAAATCTCCAAGAAAATATTAAAGGTTCTCTGAAAACAGACGTGAAAATCAGGCAGATTTGACAGCACAAATATTTCCCATGTCTCAAGAAAAACAAGTGTTCAACACACTAACTCTGGACAAGACAAGCTGTGAAGGTACTCTCCAAAGAAGTCTGGAAATAGTGAATATTCATTCTGCTAGCATAAATCTCACAAAGCATAATAAAAAATTTTCACAAGACCCTGCCTTCCTATCTACACAGGAACAGGGAGAATCTGAGCAAATTACATTTCCCCATGCTAGGGAACCAAGCCTAGGTATTGTTTATAAAAATTAACTGCATTCCCAGAGCCACATTATAGTATTCTGATTAGCTTTTTCTACTCCACAGCTACTCTACTTCTCATTCAAGCCCAGATCTCCCTCTGCTTCTTCAAGTTGGGCATGGTTTTCTTTTAAATCAAGATCTCTTCTTCTGGTGGGAATGCCCAGGCTGAAGGACTCAAAGATCTGCCTGCCCTTTAGATTTTTTCACAGGAAAAAAGAGAGGAAGTCAGGTCCTTGTAGCAAACTCATCTCCAGACAAATACCTGTTCTCCACTGAGCTAAACATAAGTGCTCCAAAAAACAGCTGCTGGAGGGAACAGGCAGCATTGTGAACAGGACAGCTGAAATCCTCTCCTTCTCTAGAAGCACACAGACTCTTGTTTTTCCTTTTCAGGTTCACAAGCTGCATCATGACTTTTTTCCTTCAGCAACATCCAGATGGAAACTATTAACTATCTACCACTATTAAATTTCTTCTTCTGATCCTCGTCTTGCTATCATGGCTTTTTCACATGATCACTCAGCATGTTCACAAGAAAGAAGAGCAATACTTCCTGACAGCTTGTCTACAAAGATATTTAGCAGGACTGCTAACAAGCCTCTCTGTCCACACGACAACCACTGCTTGTGGGACAAAGAGCCACCACAAAACCTTCTCCTGCCTGTATTTTAAACAGACCAAAACCAGAGTCTTAATTACAAAACTACTGATTTCAACTATCAAAAAACTTTTAATGATTACCATGAAGGGGAAATTGAGTAGGGAATGTACATTCTCGCTTCCACAAGAACATGGATAAACATCTGCTGAAACTACATTTGGAAACATCCAGTATAAGCAATTACCTGAGGAAATCAAAGTTAGAGTGGATCTTATGAACAATAATTTTAGAGATATATGGGTGTGTTCACATTATCACACAAAGATACTTTTCTTGATACTGGAACAACACCCAGTTACATTAAATCTCTAGACTGCTACCACTGATTAGATCTGCTTGCTCCCTTGACTACTTGGCAAAGCCAAACAAGCCTTCACTGATCTCCTCTTCAGATAAATACTCAAACCCCATAGTCTAGGGTTTTGTTTTAAAAATCAACTTAGCCATTAATCACTGAACTACACCAAACTTAGCAAGGCTGCAAATCTCACATCTTCAGGCTCCCAGAAGCCTTCCAAAGAAATAGAGCTGTTCTCCAAGCTTCCCTTCCTTTATTCTGTTGCTTGCCATGAAGAACATATAATAGCAATCTCTGTGATGCTCAGATCTGTGCCCTGTCATGAGGATCTGCAGTTCATCAACTCCAGAGAAATTAAACTTACTCCACGACTCCTCCCCGCAACCTTCACCACTTATCATTTTGAGAAGGAAAGAGGTGGTAATAAATAAACTTTATAAGAACAAATTTTTTCCTTTCCTCACATTTTGCAGTCACAGACATAATCTCTCTAACAAGACAATTTGAAGGATACCATTTAGTGAAACCCTCCCAGGTTTCCTTGTCAGACAAGAAAAGCTTCTTCAGTCTTTTACAAAAAGTTCTTAAGATCTCTGGTTTTCAGATTCACAAATTCAGACTCAAGTTTGAATTTATGTGTTGAGCATATATTGAAACGACAAGGGAGAATGGCTTTATACTGTAAGAGTAGGCTTATCTTGGATATTAGGAAGAAATTCTTACCAGTGCGGGTGATGGGGCCCTAACACACGCTGATCAGAAAACCTGTCTGCCCCATTCCTGGAAGTGTTCAAGACCAGGCTGGAAACAACATTATCCAGTGGAAGGCATCCCTGACTGTGGCAGGGAGTGGAAGCAGGTGGTACTAAAGGTTGCATGGAACACAAACTACTCCTCGATTCTAAGATGATTCAATCTCTGCAGGTCCAGGTGGATGCCAAACCTGCTCTTCACAGGCTTCTCCCTTCCCCTGCCCCTCTACCAAGCCCAGCAGGCCTCAAAGACTGAAAGGAGCACAGAGAGCCAAAGGGGGACACTTGCAGCTGCCTCACTGGGAGCTCCCTGGGAAGCACTTTCCTTGAGAAGCAAGCCCCTGTCCTCCAAATGCATTTCCCCAAATGTGCAGCTTTTCTGCTCAACACCAACACACCCTTAGGAAACGCTGGCAAGGCTGAAGGACTTCATGTCCTTTCAGGACAGGCACTCCAGCTCCAGCTCCTATTCCCCCAAGTGCCTTTCCAGGTGGAGGCTCAGACGGGCAGCCCCAGCCCTCTACAAACACAAGCTGCTCAGTGCCTCTTCACCTGCCTCAACTCCTGCCTGCGCTCTCTGTTAAGCCCAGATGGTTGCTGGTTCTGCCCTCTCCCTGATCCTGTGCAGGGATGGAGCACTGCTGAGCTTTCAGGAAGCTATTCCTGAAAACTTCCAGCATTCCAAGCTCCATTGCCCTCCGTGGAAGCTTGCCATGGAATCCCTCACAGCTGCCTTCAGAGCATACTCAGCTTGGCTCTTCCAAATTCCAGGGGCTCCAGGCTGCTCAGCAAGATCTGCAACTCCACAGGGTTGTGGAACTGCACCTTCAGCACAGGCACCTCTCCAGCCTGATCTGCCCTCGTTCTGTGTGTGTGTGCACAGAACACGGCGTGGAAGAGAGCAGCAGCAGGGGCCTGTGTGTCCCAGGGCCCGGGATTTGCGCCGCTTCAGCTCCACAGAGATGGAGGCAAAGTGAAGAAGCCAAACTGTTTATTTATACAAGGTGAAACAAAGGGATGAACTGGGAGGTAAAATTAGGAAATGGACAGGGTCTGACGGCTGGTGAGACCGAGCTATCAAAAGGGAGGGATTGTGGAGAGAAAAAATGGGGATGGCCAGTGTCTGAGGGCTGGAGAGAGGGAGCTATCTAGAGGCAGAGAAAGGGCTGAAGCCATGAGAATTGTGTCCAGCATCAGCTATGCCAGGAGTTCCAGCGGCACTGATAGATTATGCCCTCTTCAATGCCTCCTGGTGTTGCTCTTGGGACACTGATTCACTGGATTCTGAAGATGAACTTAATTCCTTAGCTCTTCGGGGAAACTGGGCTTGATTTTTCAGGTTAGAGCATGATGGTCTGGCATCTTGCCTCCAGGTTTGAAGGGCTGGAAGAGACAGCAACAGAGACATGGTCAGATACTGGATCTGTGGGAATCTGAGGAGACTTTCTGAACAGGCCCACTCCACCCAGAAGGGACTAGGAGACATTGGAATCAGCTGGGAGGTACTTACCAAGACTCCCCGACCTGTCCCTGAAATCTCTGTGTGCTCTGCCCACACCACCCCTGGTGCGCACAGGGAGCTGAGCCCTCTGCAGCCGGGGCAGGGCTTGCAGCTCCCCGCCAGCCCCCGCTGACAGCCCCCTGCCCTCACTCACCCTGAGTGAGAAGGTGAAGCTCGTCTGGCTGTCCCTTCAGGTAGCGCCTCGCCATCCCTGGGAACACAGAGCCTGTCAGGCCCAGCGGCACAGCTCCCTGCCAGCGGCGCTGCCAGCCCTGTGCCCACACGCCCTCCTGGCCCGGCTCGTGGCTCACCCATGAACCTGACGGCCGCCTCTCGCAGGGGCTCCTGTGGGCTCTGCAGGTAGGGCAGGGCCCGGCACAGGTACTTGGCTGCTCGGTTCCTGTCCTCTGCCAGCTGGAGAGAGCGGCAGGAGGGAAGGGTTGGCCCCGCAGCCCCGCCGGGCCGGGGCTCCATGGGCACCCGGCTCGGGCCGCAGGAGCCTGGAGCAGAGCCCGCGCGGCCTCGGGCTGCAGCAGCGGGCAGGGGCACAGCTGCCAGCCCGCACACCGAGCACCGCGCTCAGGGGGCTTCTCCAGGCTGGGGCTGCGGCTTCCCGGCCCTCCTTACCAGGCACTCGGTGAACTTCCACATCTTCTTCCTCTCAAGTAGTCGCTTGAGCTTCTTTCTCTTCAGAAACGTTGCCGCACAAAGTAGCAGTTCACGAGAGGCCTGGAGAGCAGGAAAGATATGGAGATCCAGCACAGCCCAAAGAAAAGGACTTCTGTCCCTGTGGCAAGGCCAGGAGCAGAAGGCTGGAGCCTGGGAGAGGTAGGCCAGGAGTCATCAGAGACCCCTTGCAAGGATGCACCAACATCACTCAAAACCTCACCTCTGCCACACACTCATTCTTGTTGTGGCAATGAAAGAAGAGTGGCAGCAGGCTCTGCCTCACAATCCTCTTCAGGGGCTTTTTCTCCTTGTCCACTACCAAGTCCATCACCTTGAAGAAGAGGTCTAGGGAGAGCAGCTGCATATGGACGTCGTCCTGGAAAAAAGGAAAATACCTCAGCCCAAACTTCCCCAAGCCCACCTGGGTGAAGGCCTGAAAATCCACAAAATTTCTGGGCAGCAGCCAGTGCCCATGGCTGGGGGCACAGAGCCTTACATGGTCAAAGAGTGGCAGGAGTGCCTCAGCCAGCTTTGGGGCAGTGGTGCTGGATATCAGGATGTGTTCGTTCTCAAGTATATTTGTGAGCACAGAGAGGGTCATGCTGACAACATATTCTTGTGCATCCCCCAGCAGCTCCAGAAGCCTTGGAGACAGACGGCACATTCTTCTGGCCTGTGCGGAACACAAGGCTGGGCTGGGGAGCCGTGGACGGCCGCACGGCCAACACCGCCCTGGCACTGCAGGCCCACCCTGCTGCTGCAGGGCCCACAGGCCAAAGGCCTGTCCCAAAGCACTGGGGCAGGGGAGGCAGGAGAGCTGGGAGCAGCTGCCTCAGCTCCTGAAGCCCTGCCAGCCCAAGGGGCTGCTTTGCCCAGCGCAGCTTCAGCTGCTGCCCCCTTCTCACCATCGAGGGATCCTTGCTGAGCACCACAAGGCCTCGGAGCGCCAGGCAACGCCGCTCCCTGCACTCGCTCCGCAGGTGCCTTGACATCATCTCCAGAACTCTGTCACCACATTCATTCAAGTCCAGGCAATGCAGGACCTGAAAGGCACAGGGCAGTGACAGGGGACCCGGCCGGCAGGAGCCCAGAACCGCACGGGGCCGGGCCCAGGCAGCAGCACGGGGCGTGGGCACCGTCCCAGGCAGCTGCGGCTGCGAGAGGGCAGAGAGCCGGGAGGCAGCTGAGGCAGGCAGCGCTGGCCAACAGGCTCACCTCCACCAGGAATGCCAGGAAGGGCAGATCGCAGTGTGGCTCCTCCCTGCGGAGCCACTTGAATAGTTGTAATGCAATGAGAGAACACAAGGCGAAAAAGATACCCCGCATTTCCCTGGAAGGGGGAAAAGGACATTAAGACCCTGAGATGGGGGGCTGACCTCTCCGAAGACTGAATCACAAAGGTCTGGTCTTTCCCCAGCATCCCTGGAGGGGATGTGGGCGCTTTGTGAGGCGGACCCTTCTGGGCACCCTCCTCTCCAAGCCTTTTCCAGTTTCCTTGGCTGTCCCTTGGTGGAAAGGCCCTCTGGCCCATGACCGCAGGAACTGTGAGGGGCACCTGGGCACAGGGCACAAATATTGGGGACCGTGGGGAGAAGGGGGTCTCACCTGGCCAGCAGACCCACAGCATAGTGCTGGGTGTCAGCACGCAGCAGCATGTCCGAGCCACGCTTGCGCGCCAGAGCCAGCACCACATGGTCCCGCTGCAGTTGGCAGAGCAGAGCCTTCATGGCCTGCACTGCAAACCTGTGTGCAGAGCAAAGCCCAGGTCACACTGGGAGCGCTGGCACTGGCCACAAGGGCACGGGAAGGACAGGGGGACTGGGACCTGTTGGGCTTGCAGCGAAGGCGGTGTTCCTCCTGGCATGCTCTCCAGAATGTAGCAACTTCCTCTGATGGTATCTGCTGTGTGGTGATGACAACATGGAAGAGCAGAGCCACAAACAGCTGCCCAGAATAAGGGATCATCGCCTTGTTGCACTCAGGCACAATCACCCGGAGCACCACAGTTGCCTGCAAGAGAACAGCCCAAGGCAGCGCTCAGTGCCGAGGTGTCCATGGGGCAGGGCCCAAGAGCCGACGCAGGGGGAGCAGCGGGCCTGGTGCCCCCTGAGCCTGCCCCTAGCCCAGGTTTCAGCCCAGCAACTGAGGGATGGAGAGGATGGAGAGCTGCTGGCAACCTGGGGGTGAGCAAAGGCCAGTTCCAGAAACTCACAGCCAGGGCAAAGACTTCCTCGTTGTCCCCATCAGAGGTGCACATGCTGTGCAGAGGCCAGTTCTCCATCACGCAGAGCAGCACTGGCAGCACCTTTTCCACTGTGGGACTTGACGAGCCTATGGTTCTCCAGATCATTGCAGCGGCTCTGTGGGATCAGAGCTCTGTGTCAGGGGCATCTCAGTCACGGCACCATGCCCTGTGCACCCGTGGGGGCCCAGGTGACAGAGCCCTGAAGGGCATGGGGGGAGTACTGGCAGCAGGCTCAGCAAACAGAGGCGCCTGAGGCTCCTGGGCCACTCTGCCTGTCTGGCAGAGCCCATTGCACAGGCTGTGCAGGGCCGTGGGCCCTAAAGGCTGCTGAGCCCTGAGCTCTCAAGGCTCGTGGGCCCCGTACCTGTCACACGTTGGGGCACAGCGCAGGAGGGTCAGCACCACGTCAGCAGGCTGTTCTTCAGCCAGCCTCAAAATGTCAGTCTTCAGCCAGACATTCACAGTGTCTTGGGACATGAGACTCTGGTGGATGTTCCTTACAATGGCTGGCACCTGGAGGAAGCAAGGGGAAGACTTGGAGTGCTGTCCAAGGGAACAACTTCCCCAGCTTCCCCCAAGAAGTGCTTCCCTTCCCGCCACACTGTGCTGGCCTCAAAGGATCAGGAGGCCCAGTGACTGTGGCTTGAGGGAGCACACAATCCTGGGAGGCCTCCAGGCCTGGCCCCAGGCTGCTTACCTGCTGTTGCTGAGAAGGAACAGCACTCGCCTTGAGAAAATACATAGTGGGAGCATGAATCACAGTGGGAGGAGGCCTGGTGCCAGTATTTGTGAGGCCCTGAGTCTCTCCATTGTTGGTGTTTGTGATGACCACAACCTCAGGCATGAGAAGAGCCTTTGCCCAGGTTTCAGTCACTGAGGTGTCAGAGTTCTCTGAGCACTCAGGCGAATCTGGGCTGACATCAGGCTCAGCCTGGCGCTCGGTCAGCCCCGAGCCAGGCTCGGCCGGGCCCTCAGCTGCTGCGCTGCCGGTCTTCCTGCGGCGAATGCGCGGGAACTTCCAGAACGTCTGTAGGAGAACAAAGGAAATGGAAGCCTGGCATGTTCCATGGAGTGCTCCAGGCATGGTGCTGGGCTGAGCAGTGACAGCAGGCCCAGCCCAGGTGGGGATGGCTGCAGGCACCTTCAGCGTTTTGCGGAAGCGGCCACGGGCGGGTTTCTTCTCTTCTGTGTGGTCCAGGGCTGCATCTGGCAAAGAGCGAGCGCAGCCCGAGCTGAGGGGCTGCAGGAGAGGCCGGAGAACACAGCCCAGCCCTGCACTCCCCAGGCAGGGACAGCCCCAGGATGCCCCAGGGGATGGAGCACGGCCACTGCGGGGCGTCTGCCCAGGCCCTCTTCCCTCCTGTCCATGGGCACGTCCCCAGGGGATGGGATGGGATGGGATGGGATGGGATGGGATGGGATGGGATGGGATGGGATGGGATGGGATGGGATGGGATGGGATGGGATGGGATGGGATGGGATGGGATGGGATGGGATGGGATGGGATGGGATGGGATGGGATGGGATGGTGGGGTGGGGCTAAACTGGCTGCAGGCATCAGCCCTGTGGCCCAGCTCTGCCACTCACCATCCTCCTGTGGCTGGAACTGCTCCGGGTTTTCATGCTGTTGTGGTGGAGCAGCTTCATGGCTTTTCTTTTTTTTCCCCCTGAACACTCTGAACAAGCTGAGAAATCTGCCCGCCATGCCAGAGTCTGGTCTTCTAGAGAGATGGGTAGGGAAAGCTCCAAGTGAACAAGTCCAAGTGAACAAGGAGTAAAGCCTCAGAAAAGCTCCGGGTCAGGCACGAACGAGCGCGCTGTGCGGGGGCTCCTCACAGCACCGCTCTGTCCCGTCCTGTCCGGTCGCCTGCTCTGAGCAGAGTGGCGTGCTCTGGTCACTGCCAGCTCCTATGTCAGCACGTGTCACAAAGGGCCCTTGGACACCCGGCTCCATTCCATGCTGCACCGTGTCACCAAGGGCCCTTGGACACCTGGCTCCATTCTGTGCTGCACCATGTCACAAAGGGGCCTTGCACACTCTGCCACCTGCCCTGGGGCCATGCCCTGCCCAGCCAAAGTGGCCCAGGTTGGAAGGAATCCCTGGCCCCAAGTGTCTGAGACAGCCCAACGGGATCTTTAGGAACGGCTCAGACCATCAGCAAACGCTGCCCTGCTCTGTGGGCTCAGGGCAGCAGAAGGAGCCCCCAGGGCTGCTGATGCAGCCACGCTGGGAAGGCACAGGACCTTCCATGGAAGCTGCCACGGCCTCCTTGGGACACTTCCCGGCCCGTGGCCATCCACAGGTGTAACAAGGACAAGGAACGAATGGGCCAGGGCACACAAATGCTGCCCTGAGCCCTGGGGCCCGGGCAGTGCTGACATCAGCAGGTGTGGCAGAGTCCCCATTGATATAAACCTTCTACCACCTCTTATGGTTGGGCAACCCTAGTGTTCATCTCTTGCAGAGACATTGTTAAGTTTCCTCGTGTTCTTTCAACTGTTCTTCTTGCTTTCTGGCAAAAAACATCAGCCCAGGCTCTCATGTTCTAGGCTCCAGTTGCTGTGTGTCTGGCTTTGGCAGCTCATGTCAAAACAAAATTTGCTCCTGGCTCTCAGGGGCCACAGGATGGAGGTTCGCCAGCCGCTGTCCTGCTGGTGGCCGCAGGGCAGACACGCAAGAGGCCACCATGAGTCTCTGCCGAGACTGGTGCTGGTGGCGGTGATTGCTGCAGTGTGGGGAGCACAGCAGAGGCACAGAGCACAAGGAAACCGAGGCAAAGGAATAAGGGAAGGACACTTGTCTGAGTCTTGAAATCTGTAATCTCGAAGTGGGGCAGAATAAGTGACAAATCTGAACCTGAACAGACTACTTTTATAGGGTAGAGAGAACACAGGGAGGACACAACCTCTGAGCAATAGGAGGGCATTAGGGGAGGGGTGCAGGGTAAGGGCTCCCTAGTAGGAGCCAGCACGGGGAGGGAGCAAACCTTTCAATCCAATTCTGCTTCAAGGAAGGGATGAAAGACAAGGAACACTCCAGAACCAAAGGTGTGTGCTATCTTTGACAGACAGGGGTAAGACATGGGAACAAGGGAGGTATACAGGTGGATTGACATGTGGATTGACATACATTTTGGTGGGGAAAACTGTGGTAAACAACTCAGGACTGAACCATTACAAACTTATAACAAGGCATATCAAAACATACTACAGAAGAACAAACTGTAAAATAACAGATTACCACAACAATTGGTGCCTGGTGAGCAGGCAATGGACGGCCACAAATGGGGAGGTTCCCCAGTGAACATCAAGGCAGACATGTAGAGAAGTCCAGAGGATAGGGAAAACTGTAGGAGGAGAAGCTGTTCTGTGTCTCTGATGATGGTGGCAGCCCCCTGAAGGAGCAGCCAAGACAAGTGCTGTAAGCAGACATGTCCTGCTCTTTTCTGCTGTCAGATGCACATGAGACAGCCTTGTTGCCACAGGTCCTCCAGACTTGATCCAGGAACAATGGAAGGTCATGCATTGGTAGGGAATGGCCTCCAGCAAGAGCAGAGAAGGATATTCTAGCTGCAAAGCCTGAACTTGTGAACTGGGCATCTCCTCGGGGAACACCAAAGGGCTTCCTTCCACCCCTGAACCTCAGCCACAGGAGTCCCTACTCTTACTCAGCATCTGCTACTTCTTCAGCACTGCTGACCCATCAGATCAAGGCTGTAGTGATTTACCACAGAAACACCATTAAGCATTAAATATCTGGGAGCAATTAATACTTATGCAGCCAAGTAATTTTTAAAAGTATAAATACTAAAGGTGTCAAGTTGTGTCCAAGTGTTAACTCGTTCAACGGCAAGGCAAGCTGAGTAATTAATTTGCCTTGTATCAGATGCAGTGCCAGGCTCAAAGCGTAACACACACAAGTTGGAACCAGGAAAATGTTTGAACTGAATAGAGTTCCCTTTGTTTCGCTGCAGGTTTGACTTACAGAGTGGGACTTTCGATGTGTGTGGTACTTAAGTCCCATCTATTAATTTATAAACTCAGTCTAAACATAGCTCCCAGTTAGCATAGGAAAGCACAACGTGCTGTCATCATCATCCTTCTCACTTTGTAAAGCCCAGGGTAGCTCTCAGAGCTGGTATGTGCTACATGACACAGGCTCAATGCTGCTTAAAAAGACAAATCAATAAAATGTGTCTCATACAGCAAATATCCATCAGATCTCAAACACCTGAGACATGAGTGTGTACTTCCTTGTGGGTCAGAGGCCAAATGCAGGTCTTGGTGCAGTCACTGATCTATCAGTCTTGTCACATGATGTGGATTCTCATTGCATACTTTTAAACCAACCTCAGCTTTGAGGGGCTATTACAAGACAAAGATGCTGGTCACGATTAAGCACTGTTTGTTTCTATTATTTATGCTTGTGTAACAAAAGATTCAGATGGCAGAACCAAAGTGGGTTCCTACTGCTAAAACCTCCCTTCCTTTTCCAGTCTTGCTCTTTGATTACGTTAGAGCACATTCAAGAGAAAGGTATCCACATTTCCTGCTTTGGAATTGATGGGGAGCTTATTGATTCCTACAGTTGAACCTGTTCTCGGACTTTATTTACACCCAGTTGTGCCAGACTGCCTGGTCATTCCAAACCTGAGGTTCTCTGCTGTGAAGGCACAGAAGAATCTGGCATTTAATAACCCTAAATTCAGGAAACCAGGAATGCACATTACTTCCCTTTGCTCAACACGAGTAGTTACAAACGAAAATAAAGTTACAAACTTCCCCAGTCAATTGGCATGACCCAAGAAGGTGAAGTATTTGGATATCTACTTCCCATTTCCAAACAGCAACTCATTTGCCTTCACATGGTCCAGAGAGTCAATTACAAAAAACTTGCTTGACACTAAACAGAAAAGCTTGTCTTTTGGGTTTGTTTGGGATTGTTTGGCTTTTTTTGCCATACCAGCCAGCCCAGAGAGTCCATCCTAGCAGAACACACCAACGTGGTGTCTGGGTGACAGTCCAGCCAGCTCCTGCAGTGTAGGATGCAGGAAGAACCCACCACTCACTCAAGAACTCCTTCCAGATGTCCCCTACTGTCTTGCACATAGCCCAGACTGCATCACAGACTTAGAGCACATCCAGAGTGCTCTCCTGCAAAGCCTGCTGAGACTGGTGCATGCACATTCTGCTTTCACTTTCTTCACGGCATTACTGGCAGCTCCAGTGAAATAATGGGAAGTCTGTCAGGAATTCTTATTAAAGCCCACACGTCTCCATGTGGATCTTCAGCAGGGAGGGATACTCAGCTCTTCTGCTTCCCCACCCAGTTTCTCCTAGTTTAACCACCTTGGAGCTCAAGTAGCTTCCCTTACAAAGACTGGAACTGTGGGTAAATGAGCATTGCTGACCCATATAGGAGAGGACAAAAAATGCCAAGAAACTATGTTCCATTACATGTGGGATGCAGATGAAATGGAAAATTGAAATTTAGTTCCTTTTTTTCCAAATCCTTCACAAATCTCTGTTCCCAACTGCATTCTTAATGGTTTCTTAACTCAAAAGTCCTCCCTCTCAGCACTGTACTTGAAGAACTTCAAAACCCACACCAATTGCTTCAATTAAAGCAAGCACAAAAATACTTCCTCTTAGTGCAGAATAATAGGAAGCGCACTTCCTATTAGTGCAGGCCAGGTGAGGATTCAAATGCCTGAAGATGTCACTTTAGGAAGTATTTCACACCATGCTTCCCAAGGTAGGGCTCTGGATAGGGAAGCACAAACCTGCTCATCTGAAGTCAGGTATTTGTGAACCAAAAACCAGGAAAAGGGCAATGAGGATGAAATCCAGGTGAAATAGTTTGGATTCCAAAGTAGCAAAAGGCAAAAAGTGTGCCTGGGAACACAGTACTCAAGGCAAGTTATGAGTTAATGCCTCACCCAAAGCTAAAAGACAACTTAAAAGTTACAGCAGACCAGAAATCACAGTTATCAACTTGTTAGAACAGGACAAAACTTACTGTATTTGACATATGTTTGATACTTGACTTGAGACAGACACAGACTGCCAGTGTCCAGATTGCTCCTCTCCTATTACCATCCATTAAGTATCTAATAATACTTTAATTATGTGCTAGTTACATTTCTCCAAGCAGGATTGTGTGCTACCAGCAAGTGCAGACATGTACTCGGAAGGGAAATTTTCACTCAGATGTTCAAACACTTTACACCAAGGAATATTTAAGACATCTGAGGGGTGCCAGTGTTTTTTTTTTTTTAATACAACACCATACAATTGCTGCACATGAAACTGTCAAGGCATAAAATACTGCTAGTATTTTATTTTATATTATTGTTTTATAACTGCTAGTAATACTAATAATCCTTAACTAGCCCTATCCGAATTAGGACAGTAAGAGTTCATTAAAAAAACTCACCAAACCAGACCTTTGTTTTGCAGAAAATTTAAAAACTCAAGTGCACAAGGTCAGTGTAAACATGTTCTTTAATATCACTGAAGACAAATTTAGCAATCCAAGTCTTAGGTGGGTTTCAAATAAATAATCATTTTGAGAAAGTGTTTACATATCAAGGGAGCTCTCCAGGCAGCAAGAGCACAGTTTGTAATTCCTCCCTGCTAACACCCCCTCACCAAGAGAATGTACAGTAGGCAGTGCACACTGGAAAAACAATCACAACACAAGGGCACACTCATCAACTTCCATGGAACCTCTGGATGGGATTTCAGAAAGGGGGGAGAAGTAAATGGAGACATGCACTGCCCTTTAAAGCACCACTCTTTCTCCACAGCCTTTTCACCAATGTAACACAAATGGCAAGAGAATTTATGTTTGCTTCCAAAATCCACTCTCAGCTCAAAGATTAACACAGCACCGCTCCAACAGACAGAATTACTCTTCAAACTGATACTGCAGCATAATGCACCACCCCCCTTCCAGCTGGGCTCTGCTCCTACTCTAACCTTGAAACGCCTCTCCAATCACT